GGGGGGGGGGGGGGGGGGGGGGGGGGGGGGGGGGGGGGGGGGGGGGGGGGGGGGGGGTATTCGAGGTTCGAGTATTACTTTGCTTGGTTTTATTGCCTTCGTCTCAACATGCCTAGATGACTAGGTGACTAGATCATTGACCAGCGAAGGAAACCTCAGCCCAAAAAAACGCTGCTTGCGTCCTCCTAACAGGGCAGCTGCTTCCACTGCGCAGCGTGCTCTTCACGGCTCGCTCAAGAATGACACAATAATAACATGACAAAGTCTACGTGCGCGGGTTGGGGGAGGGACACGCGCACGACAAAAAATTCACGAGCGCGGGCGGGAGTCGACACGTTCCACGCAATACACACATGCGTGCGCGGCACACGCGGATCCCGAACCCCTGGCCCCGTCTCTCCCTCACCAGCTGCAGTGGTGGTCGAAACCCCGCACCGTCTTCCGGCAGTAGTTGCAGTAGTGAGGCGTTTCCGCTCGCTTCCTCCCTAGGGTGCACCCGCCCTCCCCCGCTGGGTCTGACCAGCTGAGGTACCCCCACAAGCCCACTACGACGATGTTGAGGCCCAAGAACGGAGCTAGCGCTATCGCGATGGTTTTGGGCTCCAGGGTGAGGGAGGTCAGGACGACGAAGCCCTGCGGAATGGTTTAAGGCGGGTGGTAGGGGCGGCGGGTGGAGCAGGAGCGCGCGGGAGACGTGGGATAAGGAGGGGGGGAGACGTTGAGAGAGGAAGAGAGAGAGATAGACTTTGAAGTATCAGACAGAGAAGCAGATAGATGCCGTACCAAGAAGTAGTTTTCGATAGATCGAATGGTGAAACAGAGGCGAGGCAGACGTGTGGAGAAGGAGAGGGGAAGGCGTGGAGAGAGGAGGAAGGCATAGAGAGACAAAGGAACATTAGACAGATAGGCAGGACGGATGCGACAGATAGGTACATGGATGGATACTTGTAGAAGAGAGAGGTAGACTTACAAACAAAAGATAGACAAATTGGTAGGTGCGGTAAGTACAAGCAGAGAGATAGATCGCTGGATTCAAGGTGACAAATGTCAACAGCATCAATGAAGAAAGAGAGAATGACATGTGCACGGCAAATCGCTGACGCCGTGCTAGGCAAGCCCGTTTTTTCTCTTTTTATCACATCGAATCAGCGCTCACACACAAAAAATACACAGCATTTCTGCCGAATAGAAGCTCCAATCCGCGGCCCACAGACCGGCACGAGCTAGGAAAGGAAAGCTCTCGACGAGATGTTGCTACTCTAACCACCCTTTCCGGCATTTTTGCAGCAGTCTCTTGGTTGTGGGGCCAATCGACCGAAAAAATAATCTTCTTCGATCGCACACCTGTCTGTCTGTTTCCTTCGCCCGCACGGCTGGCACGGTATCGTGGGGTGGCCTCGCGTCTACCACATGGCGAGACCAAGCCCGTGCATTGCAAACAAGGTTCGCAACGAACGCTGTCACCGTTTGCTGCGTGAAAGGCTTAAAAACCTACGCCCGGGAAAAGAGGAAACGAAAGAGGAGAGTTCGACCAGCACCCGTGGAAACACACGACCGGTTTCCAAGCTTCGAACCAGTGCAAGACCTACATACACCGCAATGAACATTCTTCAAGCAAAAACGGTCGCGCGAGTGGTTCAGTCGGTGGCCTCTCAACCGTCGTCACGCTTGGACCTGACTTTGAATCTCGGCCCAGCCACAATAACCGGGATTATTTTCTCCCAGCGGCAACACATGTGGATGGGCGCATGTGTAGCGATCAATCGCCAGTGTTCACAAAAAATTCACGCCACGGTCGGCGAGAGGAAAGAAACATGTGGAACGAAAAATACGTAGGTTGCATAAGATATTACACCCCCTGGACCGATTTTCGAAGCTCGATTTCTCGCCAAGAAAAGCGTGACGGTGCTGAAAACGGCGGCGATGGATCAGTCTCGTCGAGAGCTTTCCGAAAACGTATCGATTGATTTGGGCATCCTCTTTGTCATGGAGTAATCGAGCTTTGAAGATCGGTCGAGCGGGTGTGATATCTCATGCAAACTATGATAATACTCCATTGTGACCTCTCACGACGTGCCGAAAGGTTAACGCCCAGAATATGGTCGCGACCGGGCAACCCACCCCGTACACACAGCGTGGTGCCTATAGTAGGGAGAAAAAATACAAGTGGATGGATTTGGTTATCCGCCCTTTACAGAACGCGCCACCACTGAAGAACCTCTTATTTTGGCCAAGGCTGGGGTTCTTACCGTATTCCTAGGGTCATGCTACGAATGGTCGCTATATAGGTATTAGTGCGGGGGTTCTTCGCCGAGATCACAAATGGTGCTCAAGTTCTTGTTTTTGATGTTTTTGAGGCTCAATTTCTTGACCCCTGGGTTCTTGAGTGGTGGCGCCTTCTGTCGCTGAAGCTCTTGCAAGTAACCGTGCGTCCTCCTATGATACGCATATCTACGGCAGAAGCGAGCTATGTATTGTAGGGGGGGCTCTGTGCCGGGACCATTTCTGTGCGCTGTTGTGAAAAGACCGCGGTTTTGCCGTACAATCACGGAGCAAACGTCCTTTTGTTTCCCTGCCGGAACCGCGCGTTCGAAGGCTGGGCTGTCGCTGTGGCTTGGAACGTGCAAGACGACCGACTATACCTGCAGCCCTCAAGCAGGGCTCGCTTGTGTGTCAAGAACAGGGCCGAACCCTGCTAGGTCGGGCGCGTGCAGTGGAACCGCTACTGCTCTCCCAACAATCGAGCCGGAGAGCTGTCTACATGCTGGCATGCTGGGACAACGGGACCTAGCGAGAGATAGGACCGTAGGTTACGCAAGACATGACAGTCCCTGGACCGATTTTCAGGGCTCGGTTGCTCCACGACGGAGAGGACACCGATATCAAACGACATGTTTTCGGAAAGCTCTCGACGAGACGGTCACAACGCCTACCGCCATTTTCGGCACCGTCACTGATTTTTCTGCCGAGTTATCGAGCTTCGATCCAGGGACTGTGTTATCTTACGTCAACCTACGCGATGTGATTGTGCACTGCCACAAGGGGGTGTTTTCGGGCGATTTCAGAATGGCCGCGCCAGGCAAAACAGAAGAAAAAAAGGAAGAAGAAAAGGAAGAACGAAGAAAGTCCAGTTTTTTTTTCGCGAGAAACACCTGCATATCTCGACGACCACGAAGTCGATTCACAAGCGGGTTGCGGCAGTAGATGCGGAGTGAGCAGGGCATCAGCTAGAACTGTCTGCGCTGTGAATGACTACCCCCTTTTGTTGCCTCTGGGTGCTGTTTCGCAGCGCACAAGTCGGCACTTCCATAGGATGTCAACATCAAATCCTGTGCCCATGTGTCGGCACATCAACACAAGCAAGCACGCCATCGTCTCAAAGGCAAAGGGGGCCAGCGGGAGCCAAGCGCAACAGCGCCAGCGGTGATTCGAGCAACCAACGTGTAAGAGAGAGGTGGTGCTTCTTTCAGCCCCGGGCCTGTGATGATGACATGTGCAGTGAAAGATCCCGCCTTTGCTGCTGCTGCTGCTGCTACTGTACATAACAGGAAATCCCAACGGCAACATATAAGAGCATCATCTCTGATCTAATCTCCGTTTCACCAAGTCGTTCCGCTCCACACCACCTACGCAACACAGCAACAGTTGCTAGAGGTAACCTAGGAGTATACTACCACTGCGTCAAGGTGCCAACCACTCGTGGTGTGCGTGGGTTTATAATAGCGTCTCTGCGATCATGACCAAGTTGCTGCTTTTTTCGGCCGCTAGCTAGTTAGCTGCTGCTGCTTCTTGCACCGCTGTGCCGCGAACAGCAGCAGCAGCAGCAGCAGCGCGCGGACGCGTTGCTTCCAAGTTTTACACATTCCTCATTCTCTGTGTGCGTTGCCAAGATCGCAGGTGTGTGTGCGCCTCCCGTACCCCTTTTCACATGAGTCTCCCATCGCCGACGGCAACCAAAACCCCACGTTATCTTCTAGTTAAAAAAATGTGTCCCACTACCGCCGGCGGGGCTCCGCCACTATAAAATCTCTTCTGACTAATGCGTTGTGCTGAGATGGCCGTGCATGTTCCTAAATAATTGAACCGATCACCACTGAACAGCAGGAGAGCTACATATCTACAAAGCTCGGTGTTAGTAAACCATAATCGACTTCGTAAGTCGCGAGGGAAGGGTTTGCTGTACCCTTCTCGCGGTAAACATATCTCAGGCAGGAACCGCAGGAGGGGGTCCAACCCCCCCCTCCTATGTGACCCCGGTTGGGTCGTCTAGCTGGTAGAAGTGGAGGATAGGGGCCAGAGGGGCAGACGACAGGGTCCAATGATGGGAGAAAAAAAAAAAAAAACTACATGCTGGCTTGGGCGATGGGACCAGCAGAGGCAAAAAGCATAAACATTGCGAACGCACTCTGGTGTCTCACACGCCACTCGAAGTTGTTAACACAACGACAAAGGTAGACGCTGCTGCTGCTCTCCGGCTGTTGGCTACCGTCATCATCGGGGTCTTGGCACATATCGGGGTCTTGGCACAGGGTGTACGGAAAAAAAGCGGGTTCCGAATGATTTGCTAGATTATCGCACAGGTATCGTCGTCTCCGCACACTGTGTGGAGACGCCGATATGTGCGGTGAGGTTTGGCGGGAAGTGATACCCTTTCACCAGCATCTTGTGCTGGAAATCTCGGATACTGCTGTGGAAGTTTGAATCGCGTGCTCCACTGCTACTGCTGCCCTTGGCACCACGATGATGTTCAAAAATGTGGTATTTGTACTCTTCGTTCTCTTCTTTTCGTTCTGAAGAATCAACATCAGCAAATCGGCAAACGGCATCCACTCAACAATTCTAAACGCAGATGAAACCAAAAACGAAGTAAAAAATCACACCACACTACCACTACGAGCTGCCAACAACCGCAGATCTTGAAGCAAGTCTTCACCGTGTCGGGGGTGGTGGACTCCCACGCTTCCTTGCACTACGTAGAGACGACCCCACGCTCCGGTGGCTTCAGCTTCCCCGACCGGGCGTCTGCGACCGCCGACGCGCTGTAGGCGGTGTACTTGCCCCGCAGCAGCCGCCTCATCTGCTTGTTGAGCATGCGGTCGAGCGGTAAGAGCAAGGGCGTCAACCCGCCTGGGATGAAGATGACGATGGTGTTGGCGTCTCTCTTGAGGGCGGCGATGAAACCCTCGTCCTTGTGGCACTTTAAGTCGTCCAGCACCAGGATGCACGGGCGCTGCTAGACGATGCTGCTATTGTTGGGACGGAGCTTCCAGCTGCCCGAGATTCACTCGTTGCACTCCCGCTGGTCACTCCAGCTCTTCACCTGTACGCCGAAGGACATANATGGATGCAATCGAAAACTAAGTTGGTTGATAGTTTGGATGCAATGAAGAAGGAAGTGTCGAACAATCCCCCAGAAAAAGTTAGCAGCCCTCCCGTGTCTACCGATAGAGCTACATCGCACCGTGTACCGGCACGCAAAAAAAAACATGTCTTAAAAAATTGTCCAACGACAAAAAATCCGCACACCACAAAATTTTTGACAAACATATTAGCTCGCCCTCACCTCCTGTGCTGATGCGAGCATCCTTCGCACCGGTCTTTTCCAGAGTGGTCTCCACCGGCATCTCGTGCTGGACTGGCGTCTGGTCCATGTTGCCGAGTTCCTCGAAAACCTCCGCCTTCACAGACGCCAGCTGCTCGGAAGTCAGATCTTCCCCTTTGATGGGGCTCTCGTCAGGTGCCGGCGGGTGGCGCCGAGCGTAGATCTCACCGGCGCGCTTTACGAGAGCCTCGCGCAGCTTCATCACCGTTGCCCACGCCATACCCTCGTACCCCTTCGGCAGTTTCTGGCCCACGCTGGTACGCCGGCGGATGCTGAACCCATTCCGCTTGCGGAACCGTTGGTACCAGGGGTTGAAANGTGGCCGTGCTTGGCGCGGTTTGCAGGATGGATCTCCCACGCGACGGAGTCCTTCCGCGGCAGGGTGCTCATGCCCTTGCCGCTCACGGTCTGGGAGATGAACGGCGTGCCCTTGAAGATGATGCGCGGCGAAACCTTTTTGCCGTCCGCCATGACAGCCACAACGAGCGTGAAGCGTTCCTTC